ACCCAACATGTTTTGTGTTTTGCTATAGTACTGGCATATGTTTAATATGTATCCAAAGTTATTATTATTTGCTTTTCCATTTTGTCATAGGCAAAGCTAATACCTAGGAGAGCAAACAATAGTTCAAGAAATGAAGTTCATCTACCTCCACCATTTGAGTTCCAATTCATGCCAACTTCTGGATTTTTGCAAATTCCAACTAAAAATATCCTACTCCAAACTACGGTGGAAAATTTGCAACATATTGAAATTCAAGAAAATGCACAGAAGAGGGCAGCCACAGAAAAGAACAGAAGAGTTACCCAGTAGACCACCAACTTGTTCTCTGTTAAGATCAAGGAAAGGGACCCATGCGGCTACTCAGTAGACCACCATCTTGTTTTTTGTTCTTTACTTTGAAAGTTATGTCGCATTTTACAACAAACTAATTGGTGATGTTGCGAGCTACTTAAATTACTGTGCTCTCTTAATGGAATGAATTGAAACTTTTTTGTGTTATTTGCAACAAACTAGTTGGTATTGTAATTTGCATCAATTTTTAAGCATCAGATTGCATAAGTTAAATGCAATGTGATGCATCAAAATTTGCATCAGATTTCATTTAACCTATGCAATCTAATGCATAAGACTTCTAATGCATGCATCAGGTTGTATCCTGATAGATGATGTTCTAGATTGCATCAACCCATCAACCAGCAATTACTATATAGCTCATGCTCCATCTTGCACCAGCAAGCATCTCATTAACCAGCAATTGTCATACACAAAACACAATCAAATATTAACATTTAAAATTAAATCCTTAAACCTATGAAGGATTAAATTCCATTCCATTCATCTATAGATTCAATACATATGGAACACAAGCCACCAATTTTCCTACTACAATACAAGGGAAAACCATTAATATGGTGGCTCCAATCTGAAGAAATTTTACAAGAATTCATTATGCATTCATTCTCTCCATTGGTGGCGCTAACAATGAAGACACTTTCCTTTGCATTCATTATGTCCATTCATTCTGCAAGAATTCTTATTGTCCATAAACAAGCCATATTACAAATCAAAGCTATCACTGGCCGTATTCTCCACCAAATTCAACTGAGTCTCTCATACCCTTTTTGTATTAACTGGGATACTCTGCAATCACAACTTCTCCAAAATCCTCCCCATTGTGTGCGTAATAAACTGCGATCCTGTAGCGCATTCATCATC